AAACAAGCGGCTAGCGTTCGCGACGGCAGGACAACCTTAACCTAAACTAACCCTACTCTCTTCGTCAAGCGCGAGCGCACTCTGTGTGGGTATTTCTTCTTACTTGCATAGAAGTCGTTGCGCTCGAGGATGGGTCGTAAAAGATCCGCGAGCTTGTTGAAGCTGTGCTCCTCCATCCTGTACATGCGTCGGAAGAGCTTCCTGCGCCTCACGTCTTCCAAGTGCTCGTCCCAATCCAGGCGTCGCGGCTCGTGGATAGGTTGCCGCGCCTTGGGTGCTAGGCGCTGAATGACAGTCGATGTGGCGACAGTCACCACCAGCACAATCGCCGCTATTGCCTTGAGCTTGTTGAGGACATCTTGGGTGTGTGTTGGCCGAGCGCGTGCCCGTGGGCGAAGGGAGCCACTCGATTCTGTAGGCGCACCGCGCTTTCTACGGTCGCCCATGCCCCCAACACAACCCTAGCTGACTTCCTATGGCGAGGGGCACTCGTGTTGCGGACGTCGCCGCCCGCGCGTGCGTCTGTAAATAAGGGTGATTTGGAAAGTGCTCCAAAAAGGCTTCCAAATTTTGGAAGCTACTGGCGCCAAATTTTCGGGCCCGACTTCGTTCCAAATTTTTTTGAACTTTTTGGAAGAACGCCTGCCTACGTACAGGTTCCAAATATTTGGAGCTTTGGAAAAAAATTGGAATCTTTGGAAACGTTTAAAACGGCCCGTTTTTATATAACTGTCCCGGCGGAGACCAAAAGCTACCCTGACGGCTTTTCCCTTCACGCATCGCGAAAATTTTCCCTGAACCTCCTCCCGCAGCTTGGCCTTACGGCTCTGATGTTGAGTTTCATGAGTGAACGAATGAGCTGTCTTCGGAAGAAGGTAATGCGTCTCACGGTACTCGCCACCCCTTCCCTTCGCCTCCACGCATCGCGAAGAATTCCCTGCACCTGCCCTGCGGCTTGGCTCTACGGCTCTGTTGAGTTTCATGATGAGTAAAGGAATGAACGTCTTCGAAAGAAGGTTCTGCGTCTCACGGTACTCGCCGCCCCTTCCCTTCGCGTACAAATAGGATCGAACGTCCTCCAAGCGAGAAGAGAAAACGTCGCCCTCGGTGAGGGACGAAGGAGCGCCAACATATTACTCCCGAGGGACGAGGTTTTGCACGACTTGCATTTTTGGCGGCACACATGGACCGCAGGTAGATGGGAGGAATCTATCCATACCAACACCCAATTACAGCTGCAGCACCAGACCGCTCGCTACTTCTGCTGTCTGTGCGTCGCTACTTCTGCACTCACTATGGTGCGTGGTGCGTGTGAAGAGCGGCCGGCAGGACACAACAAAAGGGAGGTACGCAGGAGAAAATAGTTGTACCCCTATATCATACATTTTGCGGGGGCCCCTGGTGCTCGGCAAAAAACGATTCCTTGAAGCGGGGAGTTTCCAAACGCAAGCGTCCTTAAATCGGGGTCCGCTGCTGTAAAGGCACATGCACATGCCCAGGGGGCCTTCCGGCGTATGTATGCCCAAGTGAGGTTGAGATTGGAGTTGTTGCCAAACCGCCTAAGCTCTGAACAGTCAACTGTGGGTTGCTCTGGGTGTGTACATGCTATATCCGGTCTCAGATTTTTTTCCGGGGTCGGGAAGGTGGCTTTTCAGCGAAATTTGGCGATTTATCTTACTCAATGTACAGGAAAAAGCGAAGCAGGGGACACGAAATTTCCGTCCCCCCCCGGGGACAAAACGGGGATTTTGCCCATATCTTTGCCAGTTTGAGTGCTTTTTTGACCGCTGTTCCGGAAACAAAATCCCTGCAGCTTGTTCCAATGGCATGGGGAAAAAGAGCTACAGGGGACACGAAAATTCCGTCCCCCCCGGGGACAAAACGGGGATTTTCCTATATCTTGGTCAATTTGAGAACCTTGTGGACCACTATTCAGCTAGAAAAAGTCCTGCAGCGTGTGACAATCACACCGGGAAAAACGAGACAGGGGACACGAAAATTCCGTCCCCCCCCGGGGAANGTCTCAGATTTTTTTCCGGGGTCGGGAAGGTGGCTTTTCAGCGAAATTTGGCGATTTATCTTACTCAATGTACAGGAAAAAGCGAAGCAGGGGACACGAAATTTCCGTCCCCCCCCGGGGACAAAACGGGGATTTTGCCCATATCTTTGCCAGTTTGAGTGCTTTTTTGACCGCTGTTCCGGAAACAAAATCCCTGCAGCTTGTTCCAATGGCATGGGGAAAAAGAGCTACAGGGGACACGAAAATTCCGTCCCCCCCGGGGACAAAACGGGGATTTTCCTATATCTTGGTCAATTTGAGTGCTTTTTGGACCGCTATTCAGCTACAAAAAGCCCTGCAGCTTGTGCTAAACACACGGGGAAAAAACGAGACAGGGGACACGAAAATTCCGTCCCCCCCCGGGGAAAAAACGGGGATTTGCCCACATATTGATCGATTTAAGTGCTTCTACTCTTCACGGTTGGCCGTCAACTCATAATCATTAGCCCAACTCCGAGAACCTCCTCTTCGCAATGCGTACGCGCCCTCTTGAGCGTAGGTATCTCTCTTCGTCCCTCTCCTCTTCCTCCTCCTCCTCCCCGTCCTCCTCCTCATCCTCTTCCTCTTCCTCCTCCCTCTCCTCCTCCCCATCTTCCTTCTCCCCCTTGCTCTCGTCAAGTGTCGGACTAGGCATGGGGTTGGGAGTAGGCGCCACTGGAGACTCGCCCGAAGATATCACCGGAACAATACCGCCGGTCAATTGAGTCCCAAACGTGCGTCTCCCAACCTTCTCCTTTCCCGACTCCATCACCTTGCCATCCAAGTCGGGGTACACCTTCGCTACCATGCAGTCATCGTAGCAGCCTACTCGGCAAGTCGAGCAGTAGCACGATGCGCCCCGAACCCGCAACTTCCAAAATCTGGTGAAATTCTTGGGGGCGGTCCATTTCCTCGCCCTGGACTCGTCTACCCCCTACTAAACGTCGTCGGAGTGCCAAAAAGCCTTGGCGAGAGCCATGACCTCGGGATTCGTCACGTCACTCCGTGCCTTGCGCTCGTTATACACGTAGCACCCGTCACTCACAGCGTCCCTGGGGGCGATGTCGTGGTTCGTGTTGTGCATCCGCACACGTGAGTCGCTGAAAGTCTCGTACCGAATGCCGAGACTCTTGGCTCGCTCGGCAAAGCTCACTCCACCACAGGCTCAGCGGGCTTGCACCGGTTGCCAGGGTGGCACAGGTTGGGGTCAGGACACGTGTGCTCCCCCGCTCCCGCTGCTGTGGCGAGCGCTGTCGTGTACGCGGTCCACCCTATCGAGCTGTTGCTGTGCCGCTTCAGCGCTTGGAGCGAGGCACGGAGGGCGCGAGTGTTCGCCGCGTTGACCACCGCCTCCTTAGCCGCTGCCTGGTCTGCAGCGCTCGCCCCCAGCATGACCCGTACTCGCTCCATCAGTACGTGGTCCTTCCGGATCAACTCCAGCGCGCTAAAGCAACGNTCAGCGCTTGGAGCGAGGCACGGAGGGCGCGAGTGTTCGCCGCGTTGACCACCGCCTCCTTAGCCGCTGCCTGGTCTGCAGCGCTCGCCCCCAGCATGACCCGTACTCGCTCCATCAGTACGTGGTCCTTCCGGATCAACTCCAGCGCGCTAAAGCAACGCTCCTCCGAATCCTGCGTACATGTATCAGGAGTTGTTGGAGTCGGGGGATGGTGTGTTATAGTAAATATATTTATGTGTTCCTCGGTGCGACGCTGAAATACGCTCGTTTTTACACAAGAATGAGATAAATAGATATGTGTCTACTCCTCCTTCGGCTGCCGGCTATGCAGTACATTAGTTGGCCAAGTACAAACTTATATGTGTCTACTTGGACTTTTCTCCTCCTTCGGCTGCCGGCTATACAGTACATTATTAATAGTTGGCCAAGTACAAACTGGTGTGCTGTACCAGTTGTTTTCAACAGGTCCCCGACTGCTGTAGATCTCACTTTAAGTATTATTGTATATATGTTCGACGTCAACAAACGGTTGCCAGCCGTCTCGGCGATGCTGACTTTTCGTACCACCCCCTTCCTGACAAAAGATGCGTAGTTTGAGGTATAGCATGCCTCCATTGGCCCCGGGATTGGTGAGCTATCGTCCCCTGAACCCCGACGACAACGCGCTTTTCCACTTCCAAATTGTGGTGGGGGGAGGTTCACTCTGGAGAGTTTCGACCCCAAGTCAGTAAGAAGAGAGAGAGAGGCAGAAAAAAAAACATGGTTACCAACATTCGTCATGTGACCGAGCTAGATGCATGAACTTTTACTTCATGGTACAGTGCGATACGATGGTTTGCACTTAACCACCACCAACTACCTCCACATACAGCGGGCAACGGACAACACCTTTTAAGCCGAGGAAGTCTGACCGTTACTCTCACTGGAATCGACGTCCTCCGGGCGGAAATGCCGATCGGTGTGTGGGTGAAGCACGTACGGAACGCACTCGCGCAGCAACACCCACCTTTTCCGCCAGCCAACGCCACTGAGACCATCTACTTCAATTCCGCCGCACGTTTGGGCTCTTTCTAAAGTCTAGCCATCTTTGTCCCTTGCGTCTCCCACCTCCCGCCCGGGTTTTCTTTTACTAGAGACGTAGGCCAGGCCCGGCTGCCTTGAAAAGAACACTAATTTTAACAGGGAAACCCAAATTGACGCTCGTCTGTTTCTCGCCCGAAATCTCACCTCTTTCTGGCAGCTTCTCTGCCCGTTTCCGTGTCTCTAAAACTGTTCGCCCCACGTTGTAAATCTTGCGCCGCATCAAGTTGTAGATGAACGTCAACGAAACTTGCTGCTGGTGGTCCCGGATTGCTCACAAAGATCAGTCTTTCAAAACAGCGGCGGCGGCCGGCCTGTAATACGAATACTTGGAACCAGACAGGCTACACAGAAGAATGCTTGGCGAGGCGAGACGCGAGGCTCCATTCAATCGGGCCATGAGTGTGTCCGTACCGCATAACCAAGTCCGGGAGTGCTCCCACCCGTATCCATCAACTACAGACCCACGACCGCGTTCGCCGCCACCGCAGCGGCTATCAGTCGAGTCACGCAAGCCCAACCCCACCCCAAGAAGCAACACGGCGCGAATTCGAACAACGAACAGCCACGGGCTACAGCAAGGCCATGAAGAAGCGCCGTACGGCCTTCCAACGCGCCGAGCGAAGTCGTCATTTCTCGCGGAATGATTGATACCACCCCCGTTTCAGCCAAAAAGCATGTACCACAGGCAGGGGAACAAAAATGAAGTCCGAGAATATTTCTTTCACGTGCTTCCGAAACGTACACCCAAAGAGAGGGATAAAGAGCAACACCTAGCTCCCGCCGTTCGCAGATACTCTTGATCAACGAACGGGTCGTTTTTTCGGGATGAAACTTACGGTGAAACTCGAGGGGCCGGCCACCAAAAACCAATTAGCCAAGAACGACGTAAGTCCACCCCGACGAACGCCAATTTCCCCTTTCGCTGGTTCTGAGGTTCAAAACAAGCTTAGAGGACCTGGGTGACTTCTGGAAAGGGTATGAGGGTGATGAGGGAGAAGAACAGCAGGAGGCCCGGCGTGACGATTCGCCCATCTCCCACCTCGGTTAGCTCGTCCTGACGAACCACAAACGGAAACAGCAGAAAGAAAATAAAAATGACGGGCAAACAAACATCCGATGCAAGAAATAGCGAACGGTGAGAACGCTTTTATGTATCAGGTTTTCGGATAAACCTGTCCCAGTTTTCCTTCCGATGCACATACGTTTTGTTTTTTTTTGGGGGGGGGGGCGAGTAAGCACCGAGTCGAAAACGGTTCCACGAACTGGACTTTTTTATATGTGTATTTCCGAGTGCACACATCATAGATGAAAACATCACACAAGAGACGACATCGCTGTTTGCAAACAATGCCCGCTGCCCCTGGACAAATTGGCGTTTGGAATAAAGCCGGCAACAGCGACGCATCACCGCGCAACAACACTTCATAATCTCTAGACAAACGGTGTACGCCTCGCTTCGCCGCTTGCCTATGAACGAACCCTAGCCCAAGCTCGAGGGCAAAAGATGTTGAGCGTCAAAACACCACCCATGACGAGACCATCACAGGAGGCTTCTTACTACGCCCGAAAATACGATTTCTGAGGGCATATCTCAAAGCCGGGTATATAAATAAATGGCCCCGTTCATGCAGAGCTTTCTCCGATCCGAGGTCCGCTTTGATCCTTTGAACGGATTGGAATTGTGTGGTTTGTGACGGCGGGACGAACGCAACGGGACGTCGTCGTTGTTGTTGTTGTTGTTGTCTTGTCATCAACAAATCACTGTCTGAGTTGGTCTCTGCTCGGTACCTTCCATTCGATACCCTCCCGTCCCGGTCTTGTTGACAACAGCGCGGACGCCTCGATCCGTGTTCACGAGCGAACTACCGCGAAAAAGGGCACGCATGATATTTCTTACTCGGCAGACAAGTTACTTGCTCACATGTAGACAACGTACTTACTTGTAGAGGATGAAACTGCGAAGGTGCACCGCTTCAGGTAAAAGTCAATCGACGGATACCCTGCGAATCGGGTCCTCCTTAACACTCTCCACCCACAGAATTTACCCTCAACTGGGAACCTCTTGTGGCCAGGATGGGTAATTCGATGGAAGTGTCACAAGGTTCTTTGTAGGATCGACTCCAAGAGGTGTTCTCAGGACTGACACACATTGTGTCCTTGGGAAAATATCCAAGTCAGGAGAAAAAGTGTGCACCTAAGGAGATTCGAACCAGTATCCAGCTGACGCCACATGCGAAGGTGTACCGATTCAGGTAAGGGTCAATCTACGGATACCCTGCGAATCGGGTCCTGCTTAACAAAACGCAGAAAAAATAGAGATCAGACAGCCTCGGGATACTCCGAAACAAATTCTACGGCTGAAGAAAATGAACGGAAAGGTCACACCGTCGCGTTATTACCAGCGGGAATATCTACTCGCTGCCCCCCTTGAGCGAACGACAGCGCTGGCTACGCTAAAGTACTTCGTGCAAAATTTACGTATGTAAAGGCAGCAACATACAACATACACGTATCGTACACAACACTACTGAGATTGGGGGGGGGGGGGGGNNNNGGGGGGGGGGGGGGGGGGGGGGGGGGGGGGGGGGGGGGGGGGGGGGGGGGGGGGGGGGGGGGTACGAGACTTTACGAGACTCTCGCTGCGTTCCTCGAGCGATAACCCTCGTTACGCAAGTAAGGAGCTCGTTGCACAATGCACGTAGCTAAAGGAAGCACCACACATGACCAAAACGTTTCCTACACGACAATCGAGCTGGGCCCGTGGGCCCGAGAGTGGGGGGGGGGGGGGGGGGGGGGG